GCCCGCGGCTAACTCTGCCCGCGCCCGCTCTCTGTATCCCTGAGCCATCTCCATTTTATGCGGAAAAAATTGAAAACCCCTGCCGCGCCCGCGGGTGGCCTGTGCGCGCCCTCTCCAGGGTCCTCTCTGGGCATCTCCACTTCCTCTTTCTCCAAACCCAACTTAATAGATCATGCACCAAAGATCAAGGTACCTAAAGAATGAACAACGCATTCAATAAGAGATTAAAGGAAAAATCATCCAAATATAGTCAAAGACAAAAAAAACACAAAATCAAAAAGGGTTGAGAATTCGGGTTGCCTCCCGAAAAGCGCTTCTTTATGAGGTCATTAGCTTGACCATTTCACATTATCCTCAAGAAAGTGACTTAGGATCCGGCGGATCGAGCCTCATGCACTCAATCATGCCAATTTGATCATTGCAATGGTAGAGCTTCAAACGGTGGCCGTTGACCATGAACTTGTTCCCATTCGCTTCTAACTCAAAGGACCCATAAGGAGTTGTTTTTGAAATTGTGAAAGGCCCCGACCATTTAGACTTAAGTTTTCCGGGGAACAAACGGAGCCTAGAATTGAATAACAAAACCTTGTCCCCAACCTTAAAGCTCTTGTTCCTTATATGTTGGTCGTGCCACCTTTTGGTTCTCTCCTTGTAGAGTTTCGAGTTCTCATAGGCATCATAGCGGAGCTCCTCAAGTTCATTGAGCTTAAGTAGCCTCTTTTCGCCCGCCAAGGTCATATCCATATTGAGCCCTTTGATCGGCCACCAAGCTTTGTACTCTAACTCGACCGGCAAATGACAAGCCTTTCCATAGACCAATCGGTAAGGAGTAGTACCAATCGGGGTCTTGTAAGCCGTCCTTAGAGCCCAAAGCGTATCATCAAGTTTGAGAGACTAATATTTTCTAGACTTGTTCACCATCCTCTCAAGAAGGTTCTTGATCTCCCTATTTGATACTTCCACTTGTCCTTGAGTTTGGGGGTGGTATGGTAGGCCGATTTTATGATGAACCCCATAGCGTTTGAGGAGAGATTCAAGTTGTTTCTTGGCGAAGTGAGAACCACCATCGCTAATAAGAACTCTTGGGACCCCGAATCTTGGGAAGATGATCTTTTTTAGAAGCTTGAGCACAACCTTGTGGTCATTGGTGGGCGAGGGTATAGCTTCGATCCACTTGGTCACGTAGTCCACCGCCACCAATATATAGAGATTGCCACAAGAAGAAACGAAAGGCCCCATAAAGTCGACCCCCCATACATCAAAGGGTTCAACCTCCAAAATATTTTGTTGAGGCATTTCATCACGCTTGGTTATGCCCCCACTTCTTTGGCACTTATCACATCTAGATATGAATTTGTGGGCATCCTTGTGCATTGTTGGCCACCAAAGAAGAGATTGAGAAATTTTAGCCACGGTCTTTTCTACTCCTCCATGCCCACCACATGGCAATGAATGACAATCCTCAAGCACCCCTTCGATCTCATGATCCGGAACACATTTTCTAAAAAGCCCATCTCCAAATTGCTTGAATAGATAAGGATCGTTCCAAAAATACCTCTTCACTTCTTTGAAAAACCTTTTCTTTTGTTGAGAGGAGAACTCCGGGGGAACGACACCACATGCTAAGTAATTGGCAATGTCCGCATACCAAGGGCTTGGTGTTGATGCAATGGCCATAAGAGCCTCAAAACCCAATTCTTCATTGATAGGCACGTCTTCTTTAGTCTCAAAAGGAAGTCTCGATAGATGGTCCGCTACATAATTTTCTGCCCCCTTTTTGTCCCCCATCTCCATGTCAAAGTCTTGGAGAGAAAGAACCCAACGAATGAGACGCGGTTTTGCTTCCTTTTTGGTCATAAGGTAGAGGACCGCGATGTGATCCGTGTAGACTATCACCTTTGAGCATATGAGGTAAGACCGGAACTTATCCATGGCAAAGACAACCGCTAGCATTTCCTTCTCCGTTGTGGTATAATTCTTTTGAGCTTCGTCGAGGGTTCTAATTGCGTAGTAGATGACACAAGATCTTCCTTCTTTCTTTTGCCCAAGCACGACACCTACAGCAAAATCACTAGCATCGCACATTAGCTCAAAGGGCAAGCTCCAATCCGAAGCTTGCACCACAGGAGAAGAGATGAGGGCTTCCTTGAGCTTTTGAAATGCCTCAAGGAAACCCTCATCAAAATTGAACACAACATCCTTTTTGAGTAACTCGGTTAAGGGTTTGGCGATAGATGAAAGTTTTTTGATAAACCTCCGGTAAAAACCGGCATGCCCAAGAAAAGCTCTCACTCCCGTGACGGAGGTAGGAGGGGGCAACTTAGCAATCACCGAAACCTTAGCCGAGTCTACTTCAATGCCCTTTTTGATACTTTATAGCCTAGGACAATACCTTCCTCGACCATAAAATGGCATTTTTCCCAATTCAACACTAAACTCGTCTCTTGACACCTTTTCAAAACTTTTTCAAGGTTAATAAGGCATGTGTCAAAAGACGATCCACCAACACTAAAATCATCCATAAAAACTTCAATTTCATTCTCAAGCATTTCAGAAAAAATGGAATTCATGCATCGTTGGAAAGTTGAGGGAGCATTGCATAACCCGAATGGCATTCTTCGGTACGCAAATGTCCCATATGGACACGTAAAAGTAGTTTTCTCTTGATCATTTGGATGGATAGGGATTTGGAAAAAGCCAGAGTATCCATCCAAAAAGCAAAAGAAAGCATGATGGGAGAGTCTTTCCAACATTTGATCCATGAAGGGGAGAGGAAAATGATCTTTCTTAGTGTTCTTATTCAGCTTCCTATAATCGATGCACATCCTCCACCCGGTGACCGTCCGGGTGGAGATTTCCTCTCCTCCTTCTCCCTTGGCAATGGTCATTCCACCCTTTTTGGGGACCACGTGAACTGGGCTAACCCACTTGATATCGGATATAGCATAGATTATACCCGCCTCACGCAATTTCAAAATTTCCTTCTTGACTACCTCTTGGAGGTTGGGGTTTAACCTCCTTTGAGGTTCAATGGAGGTGGATTGATCATCCTCAAGGTGAATACGATGCATGCATAAAGAAGGGTTAATACCCTTAATATCGTCAATGCTATACCCTATCACATTTCTATATTTTCTCAAAACAACAATCAATTTTTCCAAATCAAGACCATTAAGGGAAGCATTGACAATAATGGGGTATTCTCCTTCATTTCCAAGATAAGCATATTTCAAAGAAGGGGGAAGGGTTTGAGTTCTACCTTGGGAGGGGGCTTAGAACTCTCCTCTAATTTTTCCTCCTTATGCTCAAGCTCATCATGCTTAGTACCGTTCTCTTCTTCCTTTTTGGCTTCTTCAATGGCCATAGCAAATTCCTTTGCTTCTTGGGAGAAGTAATCTTCCTCACATGTGAGAGCTTCGGCCATAGGATGTTTAGGACTCATGACAACCCTTCCCAAACGATCTAGCTCTTCATTGACAACATCGACCCTATAACACTTCTCAACCATGGGGGTTTTGAGTAGCTTAGAGAATTCAAAGACAATTTTTTCATCGGCCACTTCACATGTAATGGTATTATTCTTGCAATTGATTACCGCCCCCAAAGTTTTAAGAGCTTCACGGCCCAAGATCAAAGGTGTATCCACATCTTCTTCCATATCCATCACCATAAAGTCACATGGCACATAGATATGCCCAACTTGAATAGGGACATCTTCAAGCTCGCCACAAGGTAGCTTCACCGATCGATCGGCCAATTGAATGGTTTTCCTAGTGGGGATCATCTCAATGTTAAGCTTTTGAGTAATGGATAGAGGGATTAAACTAACACTTTCTCCGAGGTTGGCTAGGGCACCCCTAGCTTCCATGTTCCCAATTTTGACCGGCAAGGTAAAGCTTCTCAGGTCCTTTTTCTTCTTGGGCATTTTGTGTTGAACAAGTGCACTCACTTGATGGGGAAGAGTGATAAGCTCATCATTGAGCTTCCTTTTGTTGGTGAGAATGTCTTTCAAGAACTTGGAGTATGAAGGCATTTGTGTGACAACTTCAATGAAAGGGAGGTTAATGTGTAAGTTTTTCATCACACTTAGAAACCTTGCAAATTTATCGTTCAATTTTCTCTCCGCAAGCCGACCGGGAAAAGGAACCGGTCCATCAAGGTTTCTAGCCTCACTAGAAGTTGAGGATGTCACCACATCCTTAGTCTTCTTTTTCTCCATACTCTTCTCTTTCTCATCAACCTTCTCTTCTTCAACTTTCTTATCATCACTCATCTCTTCTTCTCCCTCCTTTTCCTTACCATCCTCTTCCTTGGGACTCTCATAAGATGTACCCGATCTCAATGTGATTGCCTTGCAAGAGTCGGGTTTTACAATATTGGAAGGGTTGGTTTGTGATTGTCCGGGCAAAGTGGAAGATGAGTTAAAAGAAACTCTCTCGGCCAATTGTGCTAGTTGTGAATCAACCATCTTGTTATGAGCCTTGACTTCTTGCATTTGTTGATTCATGGCTTGAAGTTGTTGAAGAATTTGAGTTTGAGTAGAATCGGGTTGAGATGCTTGCTCTTGACTTCTTTGAGTTTCTTGGGTTTGATTTTGGTATTGGTGTTGATTATTGTGTTGGTTGTTTCTTGGGTAGTTTCCTCTTTGATTTTGGGTTTGGAATGGAGGAGGGTTTTGATATTGGGTGTTGGAATTGTATGGTTGTTGAGCCTGTTGATTCCATTGTTGAGGTTGGTTTGCAAATCCGGGTGGTGGTTGTCTCCAAGCTACTCCTCCACCATTTCCCCTATAACCTTCTTTCCTTGTGTTGTATACCGCTACATGCTCCGGGCTCAACCCGCCACAATAGGATGTATCATGGTTGGTGTCACCACAATTTTGACAAGAGAAAGAGTTGACTTGGGAGGAGCTTGAACCACTAGCAACACTTGTATTCAACTTGGCAAGCCCTTTTGTCAACATCTCAATTTGATGTTGCAATTGATCGACCTTCTCCAACTCATACTTCCCACCTTTCTTTGGTGCATTCCTCCTTCTTCCTCCCCAAGAGTAATTTTTTAACTACCTCTTCGATCGTCGCTTCAACTTGATTTTGAGGGACTTTGATCAATTTTCCACCCGCTCCCGCATCCAAATTAGCTCGGGACATCGGTTCCAAACCATCATAGAAGAACCTCATGAGTAAGCTTTGATTGTACTCATGGTGAGGACATGCTTGCACCAACTCCTTAAACCTCTCCCAAGCTTCACTAAGACTCTCCTCCGCCTCTTGTTCAAAAGATGCTATCTTCCTCCTCATCTCGGCGGTTTTCTCCTCGGAGATGAATCTCTTCAAGAATGCTTGCACAATTTCCCTCCATGTCGTGAGAGAATTAGGTTTGACTTGCTTGAGCCACTTCTTTGCTCTCCCCGCAAGAGATTGCCGAAATAGGTGCATCCGGATGTATTCTTGAGAAACTTGGTTGGTTTGTATCATGGCACAGAGTTCGAGGAACCTATCAAGGTACTCAATGGGGTCTTCACTTGGTGAACCCGAGAATTGCTCCGCTTGAACCATTCGTGTGTATTGAGGATGGATGGTGAAGTTAGTCTCAGTGACGGGTAACAATATCCCACCGGTGAGCTCATAATCCTCCGGATTACCGAACTCACGGAATAATACATCCACTTGTTGTCCCGCCATTTCGTCACCTTGGGAATGTGAGGAACAAGAATCACTTTCACTATCAAAAATTTCACCAAAACCTCTTCCCTCTTCTTGATAGAGTCTACGGACTTGTCTCAAGGTTCGGTCGATTTCGTGATCAAGGTTGTGAGTAGGTGGTCCTTGAGATCTTCTTTGCATTCACCAAAGCTAAACAAACAATTATCAATGACTAGCAAGTGGAAAAGGAACTAAACAAAAAGCAACAAAATCCACAAATTACGCAAATAAGTGTGCAAAACTAGCCGTTTCCCCGGCAACGGCGCCAAAATTTTGATCGGTGGACAATAAGTCGTTAGTTTATTATCCTAGATCAAAATTACAATTTGTAACTCCTATCCTAGCTCTATCAAATTTTGCTTTAGATAGCGGTAAGGTAGGGTCGATTCCCAAGGAAACGGGGGTTTAACACAATTAATACGAAATCGAGGAGAAGTTGCTAATAACAAAAGGTGGTATTTGAATTTGTGTTGAAGAATTCTATGGACAAACTAACTACTATTGAGCCTAGAATAAACTAGAAATAAGGGAAATAGATTAAACACTTTTAAAAGCAAATAAATGGACAAGATTATAGAGATAACAATGACAAAAGCACTAGGGAAAGGGGGATTCAATCATGAACAAAGAGTACTAGCGAAAACCGAAAGGAAACTGATTCTAGGAGTATAAACTCTACCTAAAATAGTTCATTCTCATGCAACTACTTAAGCAAGTCGACGAAATCATTCACACATAGATTAAATCATTCTCATGCATTCAATCAAGGGCTAGATTCTTGGGATTAGAGGTGCACACACTAACTCCAAGCATATTATAGCTCAAATCATCAACTCAAGAATAAGTCCCAATCAATAATAAATAGATATTCAAATACACATGATTTTCACCCCCTTCCCTAGCCTAAAAACCTAAGCTAGAAGGAAGGGAATGGCCATAACAACTAACATAAGCATGTATTCAATACCAACACAACCTAACATGATTCTAACTTGAAAGGAAAACTCAAAGAAACTAATAAAGCTTAAATATTTATGGAAATAAACTCAAGTAAGAGCAATAAAACAAAGAAAATCAAAAACTAGAGAAACAAAAGTAAAGATTGATATTATAAAGATTAAAGATTACCAAATCATCAAAGTAGTAGCAACAATCTAGAAGAAAGCTTGAATATTTGATTACAAAGATTAAATCTTGAACACTAGTGTTTTCTCTCTCTAGAAACCATGAACTTCTCTCTCTACAAATGATTTTTTGGGGCCAATGAAATAGTGGATCCTAAGAAAATCAAGCAAGGGACTATTTATAGTCTTCTACCAAAAGGAAGAAAAAGGGCAAGGGAGAGGGCTCTCCGAACAGGCAGCCGCGCCCTCTCCAAGCTGGGTAAATAGCCTCGTAAAACCCAGAAAGCCGCGCCCGCGGGCCTAAGTGTCGCGCCCGCGGGGCCAATGCCGCGCCCACGGCTTGCCATCTCCACTTTCTTCTGCTGGCTTCAGACTTTTCCTGTCCGCGCCCGCGGCTTACAAGCCCGCGCCCGCGGCCCATTTGAACAACGCGCCCTCTCCATCCCGGCATCTCCACTCCTTTGCCAAGCTCCTTTGGCATCTCCACTCAAGCTATTGATTCGTGAATCGCACATAAGCGCTGGGAGCTGTCAAAACACATAAAAAGGAGGTAAAAACTAGAAGAAAAGACAAAAAGGGGAGGAAAAATACGAGAGGGGGCTAAAGTGACTAAAATCAAGATAAAAGGGGTTAAAATAGGCATAAGCAAGTGACAAATCCGGGGGAAATCGGTAGTAAAAAGGGTTAAAATGGTGGCATAAATGCCACACATCACACGCACACCCACGCATCACATAGCAGCCTTGGTGCGTGGTGATGCTGGACTGCTGTGCGTGGCCTAGCAATATGCTGGCGCCCAGGCCCTTGCACATGCATGGTGCACTGCTTGGTGCTGCCATGCGAAGGCTAGCACACAAACCAGCACGCATGCTGCACCAATGCTAGCCAAGCACCTATGCTAGCACTTGGTGCCAGTGATGGTGCTGCCATGCCAGGCACGCACGCACGCAGCACCCAGTGCCAGCGATAGTGCGCCTGGTGCCTGCGATGGGCAGCGATGGTGCCCAGCCTCATGCTAGGGCTGCGATAGATGCGATAGGTTGCTCGGTGTACCTAGTGCGCCTATTTCTTGCGATAGGCTGCCAGGCCACGCCTAGGTTGCGATGGTGCACCTAGGCTGCGATGGCGCGCCTAGCACACCTAGTGTGCTTAGGCTTGCGCCTAGCCATGCTAGTGCATGCTAGCCTGAACTAGCCTTCCACATGGTTAGACCATTGTGGTGCTACGGCTACACTCGTACTTGTCGCTTGTGATTTTGCGACGCTTGATTTCTGACGTCTGTATTCGTAAAACTCTGCTGACTCATTAAATCCTTTCGGATTAATTCGTCGTCTCGGATCGGTGATTCGATTGGGTTCGACCCGAAGGGTTCAGTTAAGATTAAGCTGTAACATCAATTGTACATTGATATTACTGATCGGAAGCGGCCTCCACCTAGGCATTCCGATCACTTGACCTTACTGAAGAATTAGCTCCGTAATAATTTTGAACCCTCTATCGGAAGAATACACTTGTTGGAAGGACACCATTCCTTTCAATCTCCCACTTGTCCTTCCGGACAGGTGTGCATATAGTGTATAGCTCATTTCCTATGTCACTTAATGTTTCTTCGTGAACTATAAGGTATGATTATTTTTCATCCTTATTATGTTCAGAAGTGTTTCTCGATCTCCGAGTTCGACTGTCAATAAGAAGATGATTTCTAAAATCCATCTGAGCACGGCCATGCATTTTCACAGTCTTGCTCTTCGAGCGGCCTTGTAAATAACAAAACATTTTTCCCTATTGTTAGTAGGGGGACAATCCCAGTCTTATATTGTAAGTTCTTCTTACTAATAGGACGTAGTCTCCTAAGTGTTCCCGTTATGATCCCCAGTTACGGCAGACGTTTGGAAACATCAAAGAGTCTAGTACTCAAACAAGAAAACTTCACAGTACTCATGGTTGGAGGAAACAAGTTCCGATAGTCATAATGAGAAATGTACTTATGACAAAAATTTAAATTTTCTTAAAGTACTCTCATAGGTCTTATCCAGTACAGTTCCAAACTTTGCCTATGAAAATGATTTATGACCGTCACGTCCTTGCAGCACAAGAAACGGTGATGTAAATCATACTACACACTAATCTATGGCGGTCATCAATCGTCCATCTGTTAGATGACCTCGATTAGGGACAATTTTCGATTTAAATATTCAATGTTCACTTAACAGGTGTTTCTTTATCCAAGACATGGTCTTGATACCCTATTTTGAATATTTCCGTAAATCGAATGAACTCATTATTTAATTCTAAACCACAATTAAATAGTAATGGAGTGAATGCTAATTTTTCATAAAAATTAATTACTCCATTAATGAATGGTTTTAATACAGTGTCTTACATTAAATATCCTATTTAATTAAAACACATGTACAGGGATTTTCAAAGCCAGTCTCCAACATGCTTGATTCCCATCGCCTCAATGTGCTTGTTGTGTTTCACTTGAGGCAGCGGTTTAGTCAAAGGATCGGCTACATTATCATCTGTACCGATCTTACAAATTCTGATTTCACCTTTGGATTTCCATTCCCTTATCATGTGAAATCGCCTTTGCACGTGTTTGACCTTCTAGTGCTCTCTCGGCTCCCTGGCTTGAGCGATAGCTCCATTGTTATCACAATAGAGGTCTATCGGCCCCTTGATTGAGGGTACAACACCAAGTTCGCTAATGAACTTGCAAATCCAAACAGCTTCCTTGGCAGCTTCTGAAGCGCCAAGTACTCGGCTTTAGTTGTAGAGTCTGCAGTGGTGCTCTGCTTGGCACTCTTCCAGCTAAACTCCTCCATTCAGACAGAATATGTTCCCGACTGTGACTTGAAGTCGTCTCTGTCAGTCTGGAAGCTAGCGTCGGTGTAACCTTCAACAACCAGTTCTTTGTGGCCTCCATACACCAGGAATTTATCCTTGTTCCTTTTCAGGTACTTAAGGATGTTCTTGGCCGCAGTCCAATGCGTCTCTCCTGGGTTCGATTGGTATCGACTCGTTGCACTCAGGGCATACGATACATCTGGCCTTGTACATATCATGGCATACATGATCGATCCGATTAGCGAAGCATATGGGATCTGATTCATTCTTTCTCGCTCAACAAGTGTCTGTGGACACTGTTTCTTGCTGAGAGTTACGCCATGGGACATGGGTAAATGCCCTCTTTTGGCATTCTCCATGTGGAATCGAGCCAGTACCTTATCAATGTAAGTATTTTGGCTTAATCCAATCATCCTCTTATATCTATCCCTGTAGATCTTGATGCCTAATATGTACTGTGCCTCTCCTAAGTCCTTCATTGAAAAACACTTTCCCAACCAGCCCTTTACGGACTCCAACAATTTTTGTACTGTTTCCAATGAGAAGTATGTCATCGACATACAGGACTAGGAACGCAATATCACTCCCACTGACCTTCTTGTATACACAAGACTCATCTGATTCTTGATAAACCAAACTTGCTAATGGCTTCATCAAATCGCAGATTCCAACTTCTACTGGCTTGCTTTAGTTCATAAATGGACTTCTTCAGCTTGCAAACCTTTCCAGCGTTGCCTGGATCGGAAAAACCTTCTGGCTGTGTCATGTACACAGTTTCTTCCAAAATTCCATTAAGGAAGGCGGTTTTGACATCCATTTTCCATATTTCATAATCGTAATATGTAGCAATCGCTAGGATGATCCGGACGGATTTTAGCATTGCAACTGGTGAAAAAGTTTCATTCAATAGTCAATCCCGTGGACTTGTCTATAACCTTTGCCACCAGTCTAGCTTTGTATATTGATACATTTCCATCCTTGTCAGTCTTCACTTTGAAGATCCAT